AGAAAAACATAATTTAAAGGCTATGAGATAGTTCCCTAATTAATCCGTGAAGGCTGATTTTCGTTTAACATCATGTATACCCATTCCTTGGCTTCCTCATCATCATCATCTGTAAAACAAATGCAATTCTATGGTGCCTACTGTGTGTAACGCCTACTTTGAGGTATGTAGTTTTGTATGCTTATTTTTGTCTTGGTGTTGTTTGTTGGCCCTAAGTTAAATTGATATGTTGTTTTTGTTGATTGGTTGCCCTTGGTTAAGTTCGTAAGGTGTTCAAGTTGCTTGGATGCCCTGAAGTTGGTGAAGCCTTGGAGAATTATGGAAGTGCAGACTTCGCCGCGGTGACATATGCTTTGTATTTCTTCACCGAGGCGAAGAGTCGGCTGAATTTTCTAGTGAAGTTTCTAGAGAATTTTCCATAGGGGTGAAGTGACTATTCTATCCCTAATTAGCAGGAAAAGTGGGGAGTGAAATGTAAGAAAATTTCATGGAGAATGCTTTGGAATGGGGGTGAATTTGTAAAGAAGTAAAGGATAAGGATGGAATTTTCAAGAAAGTGTAAGGGCAAAATGGGAAAGGATGTTTAATTACATGAGTTATTAAGGGTTCAAGCACACAAACCTTCCCATTTGCTTTATCCCACACGCCACCTCTACCCTCAATTCTCTCATCTTTCTATCAATTTTCCAAGGTTGATTTGAGGGCTTTTGGTTGGATTTCTATAAGGATTTGATCCTAGGCATCAAAAGGTAAGGATTCTTGCTCTAGACTTGAGATTAATTTATGTTAGTATGGAGTTCTTATCAAGTTTATGCTTAGGGTTTGAGAGAAAGAATAAGTTTACCAAAAGAGAAAGAGTTTCTTGTGGAACTACTCAAGTCAGAGGTAAGTAAATCTAACCCAAGCTAAGATTTAAGCAATCAAATAATTTGACATGCATGTATATGCTTGTGAGTTTAATGTGCTTGGTGAGAATGTGATTATTGATGAGTAGATGGCTCTTGATGAGTAGATTTGAGCCATGAGAAGTAGAGTTGAGATTGTGGTGACCAAGTGAAGTTTGGTTGCATGTAGAAAGGAATTGAGTAGAATATTTGAAGTTTTTTTCTTGGCCATGTTTAGATTTATTGTGGAGGAGTTTTGCTCCATGAATGGATGGTTTAAGAAAGAAGTAGAGATTTACCAAAGATAGAATTAAAGTATGCACACATGATGTTTGATGAAATGCCTAAGAGAAGCTTGTGCATAAGTAGAGAAACTTAATTTTGTGCAACATTGCATAATTGCACCTAAGAAAGAAGCATAAGCATGAGCCATCCACATGCATATATTTGCATATGCATAAGAACTTAAAGAAAGAATAAAGAACTCTTAAGACAAAAGAATTTAAGAAAGAAAAGTGCTAAAGAAAAGAAAGAATTTAAGAAAGAAAAGTGCTAAAGAAAAGAAAAGAATAGGTTGTTGCGATGGGGAACCTGTGAGTGCTCAGAAGAAGAAATTCCCACATATACGCCACCTTAATTGAGTGGCATAAGAAGAAGAAGAATTTGTACGGCCTGTAAGAGTGTATATGGATGAGGGCTGTACTAAGAAGAATTTCCTACATGCACGCCACCTTAACTGAGTGGCTTAAGAAGAAGAAAGAATTTTTACAGTCCGCAAGAGTGCATGTAGATGAGGACTATACTCACTCACACGGCCAGGGTTCCAAATCCATGCATCAACCGAGTCCGATCGGCACAGAAAAAGAAAAAGAATAAGAACAAGAATAAGAATAAGAATAAGAACAAGAACAAGAATAAGAATAAGAACAAGAACAAGAATAAGAATAAGAATAAGAATAAGAATGAGAAAGAATGAGAAAGCTTGAGCAAGCAACAAAAGAAAAGCAAGAAAAGAAAAGAAGAGCTTGAGCAAGCAAGAAAAGAAAAGCAAGAAAAGAAAAGAAGAGCTTGAGCAAGCAAGAAAAGAAACATAATAGGAACTAGAGAGAAGAAAAGGAAACGCACGTCTATGCACTACTGCATATGCATTTCATTTATGCATGTCACCATGATTTCCATCATGGTTAGTGAGAATAGAAAGAAAGAATAAAAAGAAAGAAAGAATAGCAAGAACGAAAGAATAGAAAGAAAGAACAGAGAGAATTAGAAAGAACGGAAAGAACAGTGAGAACTAGAAACAGAGAAAGAACAAAGAAAGAATGAAGAAGAAAAGAATAAAGTAAGGAAAGAACCAAAGTATAAGTCGCGGAGATAAAGGAGTAGAGGATTTACTTACTGAGCATTTTTGTGCTCACCCCGTTGTTTTTTCATGTTTTACAGGAAATAGGTGAGAAGCGGTCGGATGGACATCGACAAGCGGAGAGAAATGACATTACTGTCCACCATTGTAAAAGTTTTTGTATATGTGGTCTTGCTATGTATAGAATAATATATATTAAGTAAAGAAAAATTTTGGGCCCAACTACTTTTCATTTATTAATTATGTATATTTTACATAATATATTCTAAGTATACTAGAAGGTATTACAATGTGTTAGAAATTTCCATGAAATAATATAAAAAAAATTACAACTTAATCTCACCCTTACAAACTAAACTAGATAATTCAAACAACAATTAACAATCTAAAAAGAAAAGAAAATTAGTTCCAATGTACAAAACAAAAACAAGACAAATGAAAACAGAAAATACAAAAACAAGTGTTTCAGGCTTCATTCGTCGTCTTCCTCTTCTCCTTCGGCGTCATAATCTTCTTCCATGGAATCATCTTCTTCCTCTTCTTGCCACTCTTGCCATTGGAAGTTTGAAACATCAACGCCTTCGGGTCTGCCATGCCATCCAATCTTGATGTCGTTCCATCTTGTTCACCTTGTCCAAAATTTGCTGCAGTAGCTCCTTTGTTGAGGATGTTGAATTGGATGTTGTGGCAGCTGTTGTGGTTCTTTGTCTTTTTGATTCGAAGCTGGGTCCTTCACTGGGAGGACGCTTGAGTAGCTTATGATAATAGTTGGAATCGAGGGGTGGGGTAGGATGAAGAAGTGGTTCATCGTCTGCCTTCTTGACTCCCACTCGAGTGCAGATCTTAGTGATGAGATGTGGGAAGGCGAAACTCCCTCGCCCTGGTTTGGCTGCATGCCGTATACTCTCCATTATTATATTCCCTACATCCATTTTCTTTCTAGTGGCAATGGAATAAAGTAACACTGCTCGCTCAAATACCACTATACTGTAATGCGTTTCTAGGACCATCCACGCACAGACAAAATACTGTCACAATTTAGCCATAGGAATCAAATTCGTTCCTTTAATACTTCTTCTCCCTTTCTTCGAAATTTCCCAAGAGGTACTCGGCTTTGCTATGACCTTAAGAATCTCCTCCTCCTTAATCTGCTTCTTCTTAAATTCCAAATACTCATCACGGTCAATTGGATCAAGTCTGTAGAAATCATTGATAATCTTCGCATCAATTGGCATATTGATACCCCTTACATAAACATGCCTAGGCTCACACTCAGGGAAGTTGGCATAAAATTCTCTCACTATTGGCTCTATGGCTAAATGCTCTGGTTCACGCATAAAGATATCCCAATCTCTCCCTTGATTCCAATCTTCTCTATGGGCAATGGTTAATCCTCTCTCGGTAATAAACCCCTTGTCTTTCCTTTTAATTGCACCTTCATAACGCTGCCCAACCTTCTTATTTACAAACCTATTGTCGACCTGTTTTCCTTTACCCCTGGGAACCGTTTTGAGCGGCATTTTGGTTTTCAATAGTGATCACTCAAATCTACCCCCAAACTAAACGATTCAACTCAACAATTCAACACTAAAGCACACTTTCTACAACCCACAATCATTCCTCAATTCACACAAAGGTTTCAAAAATTGCACTTACACCCCTAAATCACCACTCTTCCAAACTCAATCAAACCATTTCAAAATAAAAAACCCAACTTCCTCAACAACAAACAAATCAAACTCAACACTTCTTAAGTCAAAATCAATCCACAAATTGCATCAAAATCCACAACTCAACAGATTCAATCAACTCTCAAACTTAAAGCATTAACAATCGCAATTGATCAAATTTAAGTTTAGAGAACTTGAAATCTTACCACTCCCACGATGAATGCACCACCAATCTCACCAATTTCTGCCCAGATTGCAAGATCCCCAAACTTTGGAAAACCTAGGGTTTCCAAACTTTTCTTCAATATTTTGCAAAAATCCTTGACAAAGTGAGTTGATTTAGTGTTTATCAAGGTTAAGGAATGGAGTAGTGGGAAGAAAATTCATTGGAAGCTCTCTGGATTGAAAGTGGAAGTGTTTGGCTCTTGGAGGTTTTTTGCGAAAATGAAGAGTCATCGCGACTTTTTATAGAAAATAGACTTCACCGCGGCGAAGTTCTTAGTTCAATTGCACAACACAGTCGATGCCGCGGCGAAGAAAATTTCTCGCCGTGGTGAAAAATTCCAGTGAATACAATGTCGCGGCGAAAGAATTTCTTCGCTGTGTTGAAATCTGGAATTCCATTAATCTACTTTTGGGCAGTGTGTACAATGCCGCGGCGAAATTTGGAGAATTCCAAATTTTCCACTTTTTGATCATTCACCTAAAACACCAAAAACAAACGAAATTAAACTAATTCCTAAGTCACAAAACAACTAAACAAATTCAAAACAACAAACAAAAATGAGAACACTTGGGTTGCCTCCCAAGAAGCGCTTGTTTATAGTCGGAAGCTCAACTTTCTCAAGTCCTTCGTCAATTTGAACTATCCAGATACATCTCTTCCCGAACATTTTCCCTGCACTAAGGCTTCAATTGTTGCTGATTCTTGTCACATTGGGTCTTTGTTGAGAGCTTAACCACCCATTTCCATCCCTTGGTCATTCCTTTTAGGGTTCGAGCGTTCTCACCGGCAACTTTTTGATTTTTTAACTTTCCATCAGCATTCTTGAACTGAGAAATTCATCGCTTGTGAAGACAAGTGCTCTATTGTGGCCCATCTTGGGATGTTGTGTAAACTTCTGGTTTATGGTTTTCATCTTCAAATTGCCTTGACTTGACCATGCATCCCTTAATTGGCGATTTAGGATCATCAATCTTGGAAGCTTTAATTACTGACTGATCCACTGAGTCAATTTTGAAACATGAATCTTGTTTCGATGGAACCTTCAGAGTCTCAAATACATTGAATGTCACTTCTTCCTCTTGCACCCTCATGATCAACTTCCCCGCTTGTACATCAATTAAGGCTTTTCCGGTGGCAAGAAATGGACATCCCAAGATGAGAGGAATCTTTTCGTCTTCTTCCATATCTAACACAAAAAGTTTGCCAGAAAAATAAATTTATCCACCTTAATCAGTACATCTTCAATAATGCCTCTCGGATGCTTGATGGATCTATCTGCAAACTGCAAGATATGGTTGTCGGCTTCACTTCACCAATCCCAAGTTTCCTGAAAACGGAAAGAGGCATTAGATTTATACTTGCACCCAGATCACACAAAACTATATCAAATGTAATATCTCCTATAGCACGAGGGATAGTGAAACTCCTTGGATCCTTGAGTTTTGAGGCAGCTTTTTCTGTAGAATGGCACTGCATTCCTTTGTAAGCATCATTGTTTCCTCCTCTTTCAACTTCCTTTTATTTGAAAGAATTTCCTTGAGGAATTTTGCGTAGCTCGACATCTGCTACAAGGCATCTGCAAAAGCAATGTTAATATGCAGTTTTTTAAATACATCAAGAAATTTCGTGAACTACTTATCCTGATTTTCCTTTCTGAGCCTCTAAGGAAAAGGTATAGGAGGGGTGTGATGCGCCAACTCCGATGGTATCTCAGGAAATGGCAATTTTTCTTTCTTTTGCCTTGGCCTCTCTTCCCTCTTCGATTCTTCTTCCCTGGAACTTGTTGGCTTCTCTTCAACCATGATTTCTTCATCAGAATCTTCCCTATCTTTTGGTAGGCTCTCTTCTTTCCCTATTTGTTCCACCTCTTCCAAGACTGTTCCACTCCGTAGAGTTATTGCATTCACTTGTTCATGTGGATTTGTCACTGTGTTGCTTGGTAGGGAACCCTGTGGTCTCTCATTCAGCTTTTCGGCTATTTGCCCCACCTGTACCTCCAAGTTTTGAATGGACGCCCCTTGGTTTCTGAAATTTTCCCTTGTCTCACTCATGAAACCTGTGGTCTCCTACATGAATTTCCCGAACATATCCTCCAATTTTGATAATCTTTGATCTCCTGGTTGATTATTCACCCTCACTTGATTGTTTGGCACTGTTCTTTGAGTCCATTGGTTATTTTGCTGATTCTGATTGTCCCAAGACAAGTTTTGATGATTTCTCCAACCAGGATTGTACGTGTTAGAGAAAGGATCGTTCTGTTGTCTCTGATTCCTTGCCAAATAGTTGACTTGTTCTGATGATGATGAAGTTGAAGCAAAGGTGTTCCCCACTTGACATTCATTGCTCGCATGGTTACCTGCACAAAAATCACATGTCAGTTAAGGTGTTTGTATAGAATTCACCTGCATACCTCCTAATTGCTTTTGAAGTGCTGTAAGTTGGGTTGAAATGGCCGTGTAAGCATCAACTTCATGAATCCCCATAGACTTCTTCGACTGCATTCTCTCATTGGGTCTCTGATAGTTGTTACTTGCTAGGACTTCAAGCAACTCATAAGCTTCTTCAAGTGTCTTGTTTTGCAATGCTCCTCCAGATGTTGCATCTACCATTGTTTGCACATTAACGATTAACCCATTATAGAATGTTTGGACTTGCATCCAAACTGGCAAACCATGTTGTGGACACTTTCTCAGCAGTTCCTTATATCTTTCCCAAGCTTCATAAAGTGACTCAGTCTCTTCATGTAGAAACGATGTGATATCATTTCTCATCTTTGTAGATTTCTTTGGAGGGAAGTATTTAGTTAGGATCTTCTATGCCAATTCATTCCAGGTTGTGATTGTTCTGGTGGTAGTGCCATTAACCATCCCTTTGCTTTATCCCTTAATAAAAAGGGAAACAATCTTAATCTGATGGCATCATCTGACACTCCATTTGATTTGAAGGTATCGCAAATCTCCAAGAAGTTTGCAATGTGTGAATTTGGATCTTCTTTCAGATCTCCCTTAAATTGTACCATCTATTGGATCATTTGAATGATTGCCAGCTTTATTTCGAAGTTGTTGACTTACACTGGTGGTCTAGTTATACTTGGGACCACTACCATCAACCGTGGGTACTGCAAATTCCCTCAATGTTCTGTTTTCTGCCATCTCAATGACAATCGCCTCTCGTTTTCTTCATTCTCTATTAAGTCTTCTTGCAGTTCTTTCAATCTCTGGATCAATAGGAACCACTGGATGATGTTTAGCTTTTCGCATAAACTATACAAAAAGAAAGAAAGCGTGAGATCACAAGCTAACAGAAACAAACAACAAAATTAAACTAGAAAACAGTTAAAACTAAAATTAAACTCCAATCTAGCTAACACAAGAAAAGTTCAATGTTAACACAAAAATCAATCTTTGACAACGGCGCCAAAAACTTTATAAGTTGAAATTACAACATGCAATGTGTAGCAAGTGCACTAGTCAAAAAGTAATAAAGTAATAAGTAGAGTATTGTTCCCACGAGAATTGCTTGTTAAGCACTGATTTTCCTAGTTGTTTATCAAGTAGGAGAAATCGAAAGATGTTTGGATTTGCGGGAGAAATTTAAGCTAAAGTGAAAACCAAATTTACTACGTACTTTAAAAACTAATTAATAACAGCAAGGTTAATTCAAGAGAAATATCAATTAAAACAAACGGTTAGGGTTTTGACTTCACTAGGATTTTATGAATTAATCTACGAATTATGCTACTTCTACACTCACATGCACGGACTATAAATCGGACTCCCTAATGTGTAAAACATACCTTCTCAGGCTCTGTTTTCCTACTTATCCCTATTAAGCTTCCGCACCCAACAATTTGAAAGTCAATAGTTCCAAAGTCGTTAAGCTCAATGGAATCCTAAATTGATTTCATTGATTCTCAAACCTATCTCTAGCGTTTAATACAACAATGGCAATTACCCTAAGAAGCTAATACATGATTCACTTTTCAGTCTCATCATGCTCAACAAGTAAATTCAATAAAAACAAGAGCAATCACACAATCCATGCAATAGAATGTAAAAGCAACATCAATTTATTGATTAAACATAAAAATCCCAATTACATCAAAACCCTAACCCAAAAGTGAGTTAGTTCATGCTAAAATTAACACAAATCGAAATAAAAACAGTAAACAATGCATTCAACATGTTGGAATAAAGAAAAGAGAACAAAATCTTCCCTATTTGATGAATCCAAAGAGTTCAATCTCCAATCTTCTCTTCTTTTCTCCCAAAAATGTCAAACTCCCTATTAAAATGACTAAGTCTCGCTTATATAGTTGGTCCAAAAAAAACCTAAAACTTTCGCCTAAAATAAAATGCACAGTTTTGGAAAAAAAAAAAACTGAAACTTGCAGACTTCGCCGCAGCGAAGAATAAACTTCGCCGTGGTAATGAGTTGGTTTAAAATTCTTAATTTGTCTTGAGAGTTTATCGCCGCGGTGAAGAAATAACTTCACCGCGGTGAACTTTTCTGAACAATTCTAAAATTATGAAACTGCCCTCTGCTTGCTTCCTTGTTTGAATCTTCAATCTTTGGTGCTCTCCAATAGGAACAAGCTTCATAGTGCTTCAAATCCGCTTCAGAACTTCCCCGAATTTTGAGATTCTCTTGCTTTTGGGTTCATAAATTCAATTCCTCTCATTATTTGCTCTAACTGCACGTTTTGGCCTGAAACATAAAATATATGCAATTAAGTTAGAATTCAGGCACAAACGAAATAAGAAGTATCCAAAATCCGGCCAAAAAGCCTAGATAAAACAGTATAATCCTAGGATTATCATGTTGCATTTGGCAAAGCTTTTTCCAACATCAAGTAGGTGGAGTTCCAACGGATAGGCATATTCGTACATAACTTCAAAGGTCGAACCGATGGATCCTCTTGCTTACAATATTTGACGTACTCCAACCATCTTTTGTTGCTATCACCGACGATGAATCCGATAGCCGTGCGTACCCTTTCAATCTTCCAATTTATAGCTTCTAAACCTGCTTTAACAATCAAATTGATGATGTAGCAAACACATCTCTGGTGAAAAAATTTGCCTTCAACAAGCGGATCCAATCTCTTTTCAAATAAAGAGATAGTCGCGGTGTTACAACTGCATTATCTAGTGTTAGCGCTACAGCTCTATCAGTTAATACATGTTTTTGCAAAACTTCAAGTATTGTAAAATAAATAGTGTCAGCATTATGTGCAGTATATAATGGTCTAAAACCTATCAATTTTTGTTGTAAACCCAACCATGATCTAAGTAATGTATTGTGACAGTTAAAAAATCTGTTTTTGATCTACAAGTCCATATATCTGAAGTAAGTGTAATAGATATATTCCTAAAATTTTGAAATTCATTTTTAAGTTGAGTATTTATTTGGTTATAAAGTTGTAGTATGTCTCTTCTACTTGTACTTCTACTAACAGGGGTATATGCTGGACAAAATGCAGTTTTAATCAAGTGAATAGAAAAAGGATTTTCATATAAAGAAAGGGGAGAGTCCGTAGCAACTATGTATTTTGCCATTTCCTCTCATGCTTGGAGTGCATTGTATTGCCATGTTGACAAAGTTGAGGATTGTGAATTAAAATTAAGTTGAGTTTGAATTTGTCAACCTAGTTCGGTTGAAGATGAACCGGATAGCTACATTATGTGGGGGTGCCTCTTCCCCAAATGTCGTCACATCATCGAAGTCCCCTTCTCAGCGCCAATAACGGTTCCACAAAAATTACATACCCCACACGATTCTTCCCCCTCCCCATTTGCCTTTGCTCATTTTGATTTGGTGAAGTGTCACCATACATCGGACACAACCCTCTTTGACGGTAGGGGGGTCGGGCTGTGGAGTCGTAACTCGCTTGTGTTTGGCTGCACCTCGTCCCGGCTGAATGTGGTTGTTGTTGTTGAATTGAAGTTGCTGCTTCTAGAAAGGGTGAAAATAGATCGAACCCTTCCGTTTCTTCGATTGATGGAATGTAGAACTCATTTGGCCCTTCCATTATGAATTTATGATAAAATAATAAATAATTAAAATGAAACAAATTAAATAATAATATGAATAAGAGATGATTGAAAAATAGAAAAAATTAAATAATATAAAATATAAATAAATAATATGAATAAATTATAAATATAAATATAAATTGAATTGAAGAAAATATGAATAAGAATTGGATTGGAGTAGAGAGATTTAGAGAATGAGGGACTGAGAGTTGGTGCGAAAAAAATTGGAAGTGTGAGGGATTATTTATAGTATACGATTGGGGGGGAAAATGAAAAAAAAAAACTTCGTTTGGGCCCAGGCCTGGGACCAGTCCCTAGCCCGGGCTTGGAGGAGGGCCCGATCAAGGGACCAGTCCCTCCTCCCAAATTGGACCAGGCCTTATAAGGACCAATCCTTTGGGCCGAGTTTTTGGGACCAGTCCCAAATGCCCAAGTTTAATC